CGTCGCATCCAGCTTACATCTAAGTGGCAGTTCGTCGAATCATTCGCTATCTTCTGGCACATCTTACTCAAGGTTATTCTTTCCTACTGGCTCTCGCCGTACGCTTGTTGCTTACGTGATGCTGATTGGGCCGGTTGTCCAGACACTCGACGCTCTATAACTGGTTGGTGTATGTTTCTTGGCGATTCTTTGATATCTTGGAAAAGTAAGAAATAACTACGTGTTTCAAAATCTTCTACTAAGTCTAAATATTGGGCTATGTCCGCTGCTTGCTTAGAGATTGTTTGGTTACGTGGGTTACTTGGTGAAATTGGATTCCCTTAGCCTCATTCTACTCCTCTGCATGCTAACAACACTAGTGCCATACAAATTGCTACAAATCCAGTTTTTCATGAACGTACCAAACATATCGAAGTCGAACATATCGAAGTCGACTGTCATTCTATTCGAGAGGCCGTAGATACGTGTGTCATTTCTCTTCCACATGTCTCCACTGCTCTTCAAATTGCTGATGTATTCACAAAATCTATGACAAGACAGCGTCATCAATTTTTCGTTGGCAAATTGATGCTTCTTGATCGCCCAACATCAATTTGAAGGGGGTTGTTAGTATACTATTGTAACTAATTGACTATACTGTTGTAAGATAGCTGTAAATAACCATCAATCAAGAGACAAATTAAGCATCAATTAGGGAGCCAATTAAGGCTGTAATTGCCAGCCATAATTAGGAGACAATGGGCATCAATTAGGGCTATAATTTAGAAATTTATTCCCAAATTTGTGGATACTTCAGTCTATTTAAACCCAATTAGCTTGGGGGAATGAACAAGCAAATTTCTATCAAAATTCTTCTATTGAAATACAGCAAGTTTGTCATTAAGTAGAGATTGTAATTAAGAGGTCCTAAAAATGGGAAACTAGTAAATTGGAAAATTACTAAATAGAAAGACTACTAAATAAAACTTAGCAGTAAAACGGTTTAAATTAAGAAAACTGTTGTAATTGCATCTCTAACATTGCTCTCCTCCTAGAGAAGGAGCTTGTCCTCAAGCTTGAAAACTACTTCCAAGTTGGGTATGTTGCTTGCCCGTAATAGAGTGCAAAGAAATTTCTTGCTCCCCAGATTTTTTATTCTAGTTTGTAGGAGTTTGCTTCCAAGTATACTATTATCCTAAATAACATTTAACACTAGTGTCCAACAAAATATGGTTCATCACAGTTATAGCACAATCTCTGAGTCCGACGTTCAACCATTTTGGCCCAGCTGGATCACTTCACAGAAGAGAATGATCAATGCTTCTCCTATGTTTTGATAGAATGAGCTATAGAAGGTGTGAATCTCTGGCATGCCGATGTGGAAAAACCTATTGTCTTATTTTTGGCTTGCTCCAACTGTTGTTTCCTTTTCCAAAAGCCCTTGCCCAATTCATTGTAGTGACCAAATTGGGTGGATTCTGCATTTCAGCATCCAAACTCATGGTTTCTAATAACTAGGCTGGTCATTCTTGACTGTCTTGGCCCTTACAACAACACTTAGAATTGCCTTGGGTACTTCTCAACAGAACTTGTTTGTTTTCAATTGACTAATTCACCTAAAGGATTGCCATTTAAGGTCGACTAAAACGAAGATTCTAGTAGCTTTTGAAAACTTCGCACAAGATACCAGATTCTCTTTGCTCCAATGTACAATCCGCCTCTCTAAAGCATGTTTAACGTTGTCAATCATACCTTATCAACCTCTAGCATTTTTTTATTAAGGAAAAATTGCTCACCTATGAAGCCATCTTAATGGACCATGATACGCGTCATATGTAGGAAATGTCTAATTTGGTGTACTGCGTAGCTGTCCTGGCACCAACCCCTGTCTCAATCCTTTCCTCAACTTTGCTATTCTTGTTTTGTAAAGTCAAATTGTTGCTTGCCTTCTTAATCCCTTATTGATTTTTGTTTAATCTGCTAAGTTCCTGCATTTGCCAAATCATGTTCTACAGCTGGTTTTTAAGTCAAGATTCAACTTGGGACTCAAGCTTCATTCTGCATCTGTAGTTCTGTAGAAGAGATTTGATCTTGTGACGGTTGGCTCTAATGCCATGTCATTATATTCACACGACTAAAGATCTCAACAAGGGCCAGTTAACAGTAAAATCTGATTCAAAAGCTAAAGCTTTTGTTTACTGCGACTCTTTCCTTGACTTATTGTTACTAAAAATGTGAGCTCATTAAAAGGAGGGCGCTCTAAAGGTGATATTCCACATTCTTTTTTTTTTTTTTCCCCTCTCAATCTTTAATTCCAATTGAACCTTGTATATGTAACACTTGCTTTGTCTATGATGTTCACCCTCAAGTTACCAAACTTGATCCCAAATCTCTTAAGTGTCTTTTTTAGGGTATTCTCGGCTTAAAGGGGTTACAAGTGTTTTTCTCCTACTCTTAATAAGTACCTTGTGTCTGCAAATGTTACTTTTTTTTTTTTAGACTACTCATTTCTTTTCTAGTTCTCCAATTTATGATAGTCAGGGAGGAAGATGACCTTTTCTACAATGCTAGTCATGCTAATCCACCTATGTCATGTATTCCTGCGTTGATTCCTGTGCTGCTGCACCAGTTCAGCTACCACCTCCTATTGTTCATGCCTATTCAAGCAGATATGAGAATACAGACTCATGCCCTCTACCAGCTACTTCGTCGTCAGATCTAGTTTCCACTACTCCTGATCCTATATCAATATTACTTTTCTTCATAGTGACCTATAAGAAGAAGTCTATATGGAGCATCCTCCTGGTTTTGTGCTCAGGGGAAGTTTGGTAAGGTGTGCAAGCTTAGAAAATCATTTTATGGTTTGAAGCAAAGTCATTGGACTTGGCTTGGAAAAATTGAATATTTAAATTTTTTTTTTTTTTTTAATTTCAGAGGGGGGGGGGGGGGGGCATTGCCCCCTTTGGCCCACTGTTGGGTCCGTCCTTGGTGATAGTACAAGAATCTCATCTCTTAAAACTTTTCTGCAAACCCAGTTCCAAACAAAAAATTTAGGTTTGTTGAAGTATTCCTTGGGTATTGAAGTTTCAAGGAGTAAGAAGGGTATTTTCTTAAAATTAAGTGCTAAGTTTTGTAATGCACCAATGACTCCAAATATGCAACTAAAAACAATTGATGGTCAATTGTTTTCAGATCTTGAGATGTATAGAAGATTAGTGTGAAAATTGAACTACCTAACAGTGACTCATCCTGATATAGCTACTCTGTTACTGTAGCAAGTCAATTTATGTCCTCTACAACTATTGTGCTCTGGGAAGCCCTGGGCCAAATTTTGTGTTACTTAAAATGAGCTCCAAAGCGCAGTTTATTGTATAGTAATCATGGGCATTCTAATATTGAATGTTTTATAGATGTATATTGGGCAGGTTCTAAGATAGACAAGAGAACGACTATAGAATATTTTGTTTTGTTGGAGAAAATTTAAGATTCTGGTGTAGTAAGAAGCAAAATGTAGTCCCTCGATCTAGCATTGAATCAAAGTATAGAGCTATGGCGCAATCTATATATCAAATCATATGGATATGTTAGTTGTAAAATGAAGTTGGTCTTAAGACTTCTCTTTCTGAGAATTGTGGTGTGACAACCAAGCCGCTCTCCATATTGCTTCTAATCATGTTTTTCAAGAACAAAACAAACATATTAATTGATTATCACTTTGTTCATGAAAAGATTTAAGAAGAGATCATCTCAACAGGACGTGTTAAGACTGGAGAACAGTTAGCAAATATTTTCACAAAAGCATTGAATGGGGCACAGGTTGACTACATTTGTAACAAGTTGGGCATGATTGATATCTATGCTCCAACTTGAAGGGGAGAGTTAAGAAAAGTCAATATGGGATTATGCATATAGCATTATAGAGAATTTCTTCACCAAATGACATTGAAAAATATGAGCTCATTAAAAGGGAGCTCTAACCTTAGGCTCGTTAAAAGGGCTCTCTAACCTTAAACTTTTTAGAGAGAGTCTACACCTCAATTTAATTGAAAATAATATAATTTTTTTATAAAATTGCTCGTTAGATAAAGAATACAGCGTTTAGTCTCAATATCAAAAATAGGAACATAATTAAGACCTCTTAGAAATAGGAAACTACTAAATATAAAGACAACTTCTTAATAATAGAACTTCTAAATTAAGAAAACTGCCATGGTTGCATCTCTAACAGATGCCTATTTTACAGCTCATGCTCCAACCTGACCTGCATAAATCTGACCTTAGGGGTCCAAGAAATCAAATTTTGACAGTAAAAAAAGAATTACAAACACAAACAAGAAAAACAAATAACTTAAATTCACAAGCTTCAACGACCTATATCCTGAACATATAGTCTAGGTAGACAGCTGAAAGCAAAAAAAGTCCGCAATAGAAACAGCATTCAGCGTCTGAACATCTAACAACATTAATCAATGAAGCAGCAAGATAATGAAAAGTAAAATATAAAGAAAAAAAAAAGGTGTTTTCTCAGAAAGACAAGTACACTTGAAGACATTACCCAATTAGATTGACTTCAAGTAATGAAATTAATTATAGTTGTTATTAAATGCAGTTTGATCTCTTCAAACCACCTGATGTCAGAAATTAATTTTGTTAAAACTACTTTTACAACTATTGCTTGGCAAAAAATGGGCAAAATAGGTATGAATAGGATCCGCCATGGCAGAGACTTTTATTGAAGATAATAGTGAAAAACTTGACAGCCCTATGATAACCATTCCTTCCTCAGAATTAACTTTGTTCTAGTGATGAAAACCAATATATCATTAAAATGTTTAGATGTTTATGAATATTATAATATTTCACATGCTTCAACCAAAAACGTGATGGTACTCTTTAGAGTATGTCCAAGTGCCACCATACTTCAAATCAAACATAGACATAAAAGAAATGGACAAGGATGCCAATAAAAAAATCATATGCACTTGTACTAAAATCACGATGGAGGTTGAGAATGGACTAACCACAAGACTTCAACACCATCTTTGAAATAGGAATTGCATGTACCCCAACTGAAGCGCACCACTGTTGGAAATCCAAATACCTGGTGTTTATGTTGTTCCAACCAAGCCTTCGTTTCGGGATCTAAAACCAGATTCCATTCTAGAACATGACCATTTGAAATTAATGGCAGAAGATAATGCATAATATCAAGAATCTATTCTAACCTCCAGGATAACCAGAACCAAAATTCCTGTTGATCCCTTCAGCAGTTTCATCAAGCACCCATTCTCGTAAAGCTCGGTCTCTAGTGACCTGCTTTATTAAATGAATATAATCATTTGACAAGAATAACAAAAACAAAGATGATAAGAACAAATGATAATTTATTACCTTTGCAACTATGCTTGCTCCACTTACAACTGGATAAAGGCTATCAGCCTTCTTTGCAACAACAAATTTGATGGAAGGAAATCTTTCAGATAGTTTTACTCTATACTTCTCAGCATCCCCCACTGTATCCACATAAACCTGTAACACATTCGTGTGCAGCTACATTCATTTATACTACGACATTACTTAACAATAGATATGTACATGGATCTCAAGGAAACAAAGAAACTAATTCATACAGTTGGTCATAACTAGTTTAAGATTCAGGTTTAGATGAGTAGAGTTGAGACTCTGGCATCATCTGATCATACTGATATGACCCAAAAAGAAATGGCAATAAGTTGCCTGATTCTCCTCTTGTGATAAGATAGTCATATTATAAGGTATTTGTCGTTTGTTTTGCTTCATGTCGAACCACAATGTAACAAAAAATCTACTGCGTGCAATAAAAGAAGCAATGTTGACATCTTCTGTCCCTAGTTTGAATCTCATGAAATTCAATGGACCACTAAATCGTGTCTTCCTAAATTAAGGTTCAAACATAAAAGTAAAGTTACAAAAGGGCCCAAATTGATAGAAAACCTAAAACATAACTTTTCAACACATTTATAAAGATTTTATGTAAATTCATCAAATCACAATGAAGAAAAGACCAAAGTTATGTCTGAATTCATTTTCAATAATAAAATTGATAATTAATTAAATAAATTAATTGTGGATCCACTATCAATAATATATATTTATTTGTTGAACAACATACAGTTGGATAAAATGGAGATTTATCATCTGTTTCACTGCTTGTATAAGTAAAACCAGCACTTTCCACCACACAGGAAATACTCGCTTCAAGGATAAAGCACCTCGTTTAAATATATCTTCATTTGTTTCCTTCTACATTCCAAAGCTACAGGTTTCAAAAGGCTATAGCAAACACTAATACATATATAAACAATTGGCCCCTTGTTTGATGCTGCAAAGATATTTTTGGCAATCTGATGTAGATATTACTTTTCATAAAGAGGCATTTGAATCTTATGCATAAGCTGTGACTTCTTCTAGATCATCTTTTATTTGCAAATTATTGCATTACGCAGTGAATAGGTTAACATCTAATTTTGAATGTGGCATTTATTTACCATGTTCAAAACAAAGAATAATATCAAATATTCTGATTCTAAGGATCAAGCGCCTTATTTGAGAAATGACCACACATTACTCTAAAGCTCATATCTCATAAATCATAAATAGACTAACCTCAGTCAGAAGAACTCCCGTGTTTAACACCCTAGTGACAAGGCCAATTGCAGAGTCATGCGAAATCTCATTTAAGTTTATCTTATTCCTATCAAGTAAAAAAAGATCAAACCATAGGAAAGCTACAGAAGTGCAAGTTGGAAAAAAAAAATGCAATCACATCAGCTAATAACCTTTTTAGCATCTTAGCTGAGAGCTCCTTTGGATCAATGATGTCAACAGCCCATCCAATTGATTCATTAGCCTTTAAATTTTCAAATAACTCTTCCCTCTTCTCTTCTTTTAGAGTCTTGGAGTCTGCCGGCAATCAAACAGAAAGTGGTAATATCAATTGAAAAATGAAAAAAAAAAAAAAAAAAAAAAAAAAAAAAAGAAAGAAAAAAAAAAAAAAAAAAAAAAAAAAAAAGAAATAGGAAAATACCAAAACTTCTCAAAGGAGGCAAGCACCTTGTAAATTTTTATTGCTGATAAACTTGAGATTTCAAAGTAAGGTGGCAAATAGCCAAAGCTTCTTAGACACGCTACTTCAAAATGATGGCATATCCTATCAGTTTGATTTTTTTTTATTTGTCATCTTCCGTATCCAAACTCACACTTAACTTTATATTATAAACAAGCAAGTGAATGTTTAATGGGTATTTATACATCCAACACTTAGAAGAGATGGGGAAAGAGAGCAAGTTATAAACATGGTTGATGACTGCTCATCAAATAAATAGTTAAACAAAAAAAAAAAATAGTAATAAACAGATGGTCCAAAGCAAAGGTTGATGAGAGTATCCTCAATTTAAATGGAGCATATATTAGGAACTGGTTTTCCAAAAGATAAGAGCAACATTAAATCCTAAAATTCATTTCGTCTAATAATTATTCCCTGTATTGACTTATTTTTCTTTTAACTGCACACAAAATTCTTCAATTGTACTCTTCTTTGGCTCAAGAATAGAGCACATATAAGATTTTTATTTCTCCTATTTATCTAAAATCCAAAACCAAGCATATAAAATTTTATAATGTTATCCAATTTCAGTTTTTCAATTTATCTTCCTCTCTCTGAGCAATTGAGCCAAATGTGTTCTGTTAATCAATTAAAATCTACAGATGAAAGGCTCCTTATTGGGCTGTCTTTTACCGTCAGAGGCAAAATAATACCACAATTATGCTTTCCATAAGTAAATAATTTTTAAAAAATAAAAAGAGTTCAGTTAATCAATCAATTACACTCAGAAACTGCCCAATATATTGAAAAGAAATGATAAAATTGTCTAATTTACATTCTACACTTTCAGAGCTTTCAAGAGAAAACTGTAAAAGGACTATAAATTTTTCTAAGAAAGAAAAAGAAAATGCAGACCATTAGTGCATAGAACAAAACCCACTGCAGAACTTAATCTCAAAAGCAAATAAAATAATCATAATAATAGAAAGGCAAAATCAAACCTGCAAAGTTCAAGGTAGAAAGAATCTTGCCATATGAACGAGCACAGTACAAGCATCCGTAAACCATAGGTCCTGAAACCAATAATTAACATCAAAAACAAAACTATAGTCAAAATTAGGACAAAGAGATATGAAAAAGAAAAGGGAAATTGAAGTGTTTAATACCAAGAACAGGACCACGGCCAGCTTCATCGATTCCCATAATGCAGGGCGTCGACGCCCATTTAGGGAGAGTCGATTGAGGTTCAGATCCCATTGTGCAAAACCCACGCTAAGCCTCTTCCTATGGCGTTTTGATTCCCGCCAGAAATGACCTACTCAAGCTGGGACTAAGAGGCAAGAACCTAACCGGTTTTTGTTTTGTTTCGGCGATTATTAGTGCCCTTTCGACGTGGCGCTCGGGCTACAAGTTCAAATCAAACTTCAATTTTGAAATAGAGTAACTTCTAACTTTGGATGCCATGATCAATTTTTTATTTAATTTTACATAAATAAGAAAAAAAAAGTCCAATTTTTTTTTTAAATAAAATAATAATTTTTATTGATAAAATTATAACAGTTATACTATTATTAAGATAAATTTTATTATTTTGTTAATATCAATATTAAAATTATACAAAGTTAGGGCAATAATAGTACAAAAATTGATTTTTGAATACGTTGCATTGAGCATCCAAATTCAGGAAGCTTAATATCAAATAATGCTTAATTTATTACAGTTATGTACAATTTGTTCAAATCAACCTAAATTTCCGATTCTAATTTTGATTGTAATTTATTACTGTATTTATCATTATCCACCATTTATTCAATAAGGAACCAAATTTTTTGTTTCAATTTCAGTTTCAGCTCCTCTCAAGAATCAAACTCAAACTGCCCTAATGTTTTCTATATTCTTTGTATAGAGGCAAAGAACATTCCCTTTGTCCGAACAAAAATAGTTCATCTTTCCTTTTTGATTTGTTCCAAAATATAATCCACTTTCCTTTTTTTTGCATTATAGTTAAACCTTAAATTGTCTATTATACACTTATTAAATTTTATTTTATTTTCGATAACACTCATTAATTATTAGTTATTATTCCAATAAAATAATTATTTATATGTTATTTAAGATGGATATAATAAAAAAGTTATATGAATAAAATTACCATTTTAACCATAATAATTGTTATTTCTTAATATATGTGAAAATAGAAAGTGGACTATCATTTTGAGACGGAAGGAGTATTATTTTATTAAACATATATTACTTTGTTAAACGATTTCATGTAATTTGAGATAGCAAAACACGTAATTTATCTTTTAAATTTTGACAAAAATACCTTGTAGCACCTTGAATTTCATTTTTTTTAATGATTTTATACTTTCCTATACTAAAAACCACAATTTTTAAAATTTTTGGTTATAGAAAAACTATTAATTTGATATGTGGTTAGTACAACATTTAGAACAATAATTTTTTCATTGTTTAATTTTTCAATAAATGTTTAATCGATGTAATTTTACTAATTAAGGTGTTCAATGAATTCAATAAAATATTTTAATAGATTCAATTTTACAAGTTGAAGTTTTCGTTAGATCAAAGTAAAAAAAGTGAAAAGTAATAAAAGTTTTTATGAAAAATAGCTGAGTGAATTTATGTATTAAAGCAAAATAAATTGAAGTCATTCGCAATAATTTTAGGCTTTTGGCCCAAATTTCATGTGGGCGAACTTGCTCTTCTTCTTTTTTTTTTTTTTTTTTTTTTTTTTTTTTTTTTTTTTTTTTTTTTTTTTTTTTTTTTTTTTTTTTTTTTTTTTTTTTCCGCCTTTGACAAGCCTAATCAATTATATGTAAACAGATAATCTCTTCATGTAAACAATTTTGAGATTATTGACAGCAATTCTCTTCGTGTATTGTTGAACAGATAAGATTATTTTGATATTTGGATGCCTAATTAATCAGACGTTTAATGGCAATGAGGAAGAGCTTCCATGTTTAATAAGGCAAATCTTTAACCATATACATTTCATTGATAGACTATAAAAACAAAATTATAATTTTTCAAAAAAAAAAAAGTAATCAACATTGATTTTTTTTCTTAATTTTAAAGTTAATTAATCAAATTAATCGATTCTATTATAGTACTTCCCAAATTTATAACATTGATAATGAATTGTATCAGTTATGTAAATATATTTATCACAAGCCTTTTTTTTTTTTAACATTTTCAATATTTTTAAGGATAAATTATGCAAATAAAGGTAGAAATTGCTTAAGGAGTTGGATTAGAGTGCGAGGTTGGCAAATTGCAAGTTTGCATGCATAGGATTTGGTTCTGGGCGACGGGTTGACCAAATGAAGTTGTGGGGAAGGTTGGCCCCCACGCGAATTTTAGGCGCGTGGAGACTTTAGAAGAAGATTTATCAGAGTCGAAGCATATTAATATCCCATCTGTCAGTGGCTAATTTTTCTACTTTGACTAAAAATGTCATAAAACACGAGTTGACTTGATCGAAACTCACAGCACAGCCTTACATTCACATACACACTTCTTTGTCGGACTTCAGCATTTTCAAAACTGAGCTTTGTTTGAGATACTCGGCTGTGATCTAGAAATGTGGCACCTCCAATTGCAACCCTTCCACGTATTCTTTCTTTTTTAAAAGGGAATTAGATGGGTAGGGTTCCTAGGTGGTTGGTGCCGAACTGCAAAGAGCAGCTTTATAAGAGAAGCCGTCCGTTTCAGGATTTCAGGTTTTTGGCCAAAACGTCTAATCAGTTAGGCCAAAATTTGCCATTAACGTAGAAATTATTCAACATTTTAAAATATTTATTTTAAAGTAATATAATCTATTATAAATATTTTTAACAAATAATCTATTTAAACAGAACAACCATCCAAGATGTATAAAACAGGTCAAGCAGTATCTACCTAGAGAGGGAAATAGGCCAAATACATATATTGATCCCTGAAATTTGAAAAATTAACCCTATGGCACTCTTAAGTAAAATTATGCACTTCAAGTAAAATTTTTGCACCATTTAGGCACCTCTCCACACTCGCAACTCAAGAACATGCTTAATTGATACAAAAAGTTTTACTTGAGATGCATAATTGGTTCCTTATAAAGTTTGAGACCTTGTAGGATGAATTTATCAAAATTTAAGGTGCGATTTATTTATGTATTTGGCTGAGGGAAATATGATAATACAGTGGAGTTTGCTCCCTGCAGCTCAAAAATGGCAACACCTCACAGACAAGTCAATGCAAAACCTTAGCTGCATTAAAAAGTACTATGATTTGCTTCCCTATTGAGACTACAGAAAAAAATTCAATTTCTACCTTGGCAGGTTCAGGCAATAACAAACATTATTTTAAAAATAGCAACACCTGACAGACAAACCTATACAAAACCTTACCTGCATTACAAAGTACTATGATTTGCTTCCGTATTAAGAGTACAGATAAAAAAGATTCACTTTCTACCTTGGCAAGTTCATGAAATAACAAACACTATTTAAGAAATGGCAACACTTGACAGACAAACCTATACACAATCTTATCTGCATTACAAAGTACTATGATTTGCTTCCCTTTTAAAAGCATAGAAAACATTATTGGTACTATGACAATCCAGTATTATGTACCCTGTAAATGGAGTGTAGAACCAGCTTCTACATATCATTCAATAATCCTTTGAAGCATGGAGGCTGCTCTTTCTTCATCTTTGCAACTTATAATCAAGTCCAAGTAGTGCATGGCTTCCCAAGGGAGGAGGCCTTCAAGTAGAAAGTTGAATAAATGTGAGTGAGTTCCCTGCATCAAATCAAAACACTGCTCTAATGTCCTCATTTGCTGCTCTTTGCTTAGCTCCACAGCCTCCATCAATGGCAGTATAACTCTCTCCTCCTCCTCAAAGTGCTTTTTAGAATGTTCCTGTTAGCAAAATCAGCAAGGCGCAGAGTCATGTGAAGAAATTAACACTCAGAATTCCATTTTAGCCCCACATTGATCATACATCAGGGCAAGGAAACTTGACTTGCACTACACTATATATATGTTGAGATTTATACCAGTAATGATTTGAGCCGAGTCGAAAGGTTACATAGAGCATCTTGGTAGTCAGGGCTCCCAGTGTCTAGAACTCCAATGGTTTTGATATCTTCTTTGATTCCATTCATAATGGGTAGGGCCCTTGCATGCTCCTCATTTGCAGCTTTACACAACCCTACACCATTGTAGTCAATTTACTGTTGCAGTCAGTAGTCAGTGGTGGATGTAGAGATATTTTTCGGGGTCAATAAGTAATTTTTTGAAAAAAGAATGGTCAAAAACATAAATAAATTGAATTTTATAGATTAATCTAAATAAATAAATATATATATATATATTAGAAAATTTTCAAAAAATAAAAAGAGGGGTCAATTCATCCCTTTTTATACAGTGGATCCGCCACTGGATACAGTCGCAATGCAATTGCCCTTCTAAAAGTACTAAGCATCTTCGAATGCTATCCAAAAACAAATTTTAAAGATTGAAAAATGCAAATAAATAAATAAATAATTTGTTTGTTTCAATGAAAAACTTTCTTCAAATGAATTCTTTTACTTTCACACAAACATATATATATATAGCTTTTGTTTTGTTTTCTTTGATTGTTGAATGTAATTTGCTTGATGAAATTAATAATTAAGGAACTAATAATCATTGTCATCAAGGCTGAATTGAGAAATCAATATAAATATATAAAGCATCCATCTTTTTCCTAGAAAGTGCCAAATAGAATTGCTATGTAGTGCCATGTAGGATTAGAAAAGTTAAGTTATGCAAGTAGGATTCCAAAATGCTTTAATTTGTAAATAAATGGAAAATATAAATGCTAAGACATAATAATCAATAATATAGTAAGAAATAATAATCATTTAAATAATAAAAGATTAAATAAATAATTAGCAAAAAAAATAGTCATTTCAAAATCATAAATTTTTATTTGAATATATAAATAAATAAATTAAATAGAATATTTTATTTTCTAACATTATTATTATTATTATATATTTTTCAAAAATGGTTTATTATCATAATTACAATTCATAAAAATTAATTAAATTTAAAGATCTGTAAATTCTAAAGTTTTAACTTATCTACAAATCTGGTTTAATAAAAAATTGAGACTATAAAAAATCTCTAATTAAATATCTAAAAATTCAATATTATTAAATGTATCTATGCGGAGCTCACACAATATATAAACCATAGAACCAAATAGAATTTGCATCTTAGAATTGCATCTTTTAATTTTCTATTAGTTGTAATTAATTTACATAAATAATTATCACAATCAGTATATAATAAATGATTTTTTATTATCAATATATTTATCATCATTTGAAATTATTAATAATAAAGATTTGATTAACAAAGTACTAAATATTTTGAATTCAATTCAAGTCATTTTAATTTAAATAAATATTTTGCATAATAAACCGCTTAGTAAATGTGATGAATGATATGATATATATAACAACATTTTAAATATAGTTTTTAAATAACTATAGCTAGAATATATTTTTCACAATGAGAGTTTTATAATACATTTTATTTTAAATTTTTACAATTGCAATTCACTAATAGTTTTAAAGTTGAAACATTTATGATATAGGATGAATGATATGATATATATAACAACATTTTAAATATAGTTTTTAAATAACTATAGCTAGAATATATTTTTCACAATGAGAGTTTTATAATACATCTTATTTTATTTTAAATTTTTAAATTGCAATTCACTAAATAGTTTTAAAGTTGAAACATTTATGATATAGTTTAGATTAGTTGAATTTATTTGTATTTTCAAAAAAAATTAGTTGAATTTAATTGTTATTTGAATAATATATAAAAAAAATTTCAAATATAGCTTTGAAACAAATATAGTTGGAAAAAACATATCACAATTAGTGTTTTATACCAAAAATGTATTTAATATTTGTTTTAAATATACTTTAACGAGAAAGAAAAAGAAAAAGAAAAATACATATTCTAGAGAAATAGAACAATAAATTCGATAGAATTACACAATATATTACAATAATAAGAAATCATTAATAATATTATAATTTAGAAAATTTAAAATTAATAAAAAAATTATATATTAAAACCATGCATACCATGGATATAGTGTACTCCACAATTTTTAGAATATGTACTTTAAAAGCAATGATTGAAGTAACTGACGAGTCTTGGGTCTTGACCATAAAACACTGTACAGCATCTAAAAATGGTTTAAATAATTATTTTTTGAAAAAAAGCATATACACAATGCTTAACGGCCCTTCAAAGCTACACTTCCTGAGTAGCAAACTAGTTTAAATTCACATACTCTATCATTGTTGTGTTGCAAAATGTCAGAAACAAAAAAAAAAAGGTTTTCTCATATATTAAAAATTTTTTAGATTTTTTAGAGCTTCTTCGGTAAAATGAATTCCACCAAATTTTATAAAATTCACATTTTCATCTTTGCTATAAATGAAAATTCATTTATTGTTGTATTTTTAATTTTATGGAATTAAATTATATTTAAACTAAATCCTACCAAATTGACTGAATGTGCAAGTGAACACAAAACATAACAAGAACTAATCAATTGAAAATACAAGCTAGTAAAATTAAAATATTTTCAATAAATTACATAGTTAATTCAAATATGAAAATTTAAAAAATGAATTCTTTTAGTGAAATTAAATGAATTTCATATAATATGTTAAATTCAAATTTAAAATTCAAGATTTATATTTGAGTAACTTTTTTAATTTAAATAAAAAACATAAAACTAGCACCGTCAAAACGGATTAGCGTGTCGAGTTCGATACGGATTCGCCTAACGACATGATTAGAGTCAACACAAACACAACTCATTTAATAATCGTGTCAAATTTGTCAACACGAACTCGACACAAAAATTAAGCAGGTGACACGAAAACAACATGTTTAACTTGTCTAATATCATAAACAGATTAACTGACTCATGTTGACGTATATCTAACCCGTATAAACCCGCCTAATATCATAAATAGGTTAAGTGAGTTTTGTTGACATGTATATGACCCACTTAACTTGCTTAAAATATTTTTAAATTTTAACCTATTTAACTCAAATCATATTTAAAAATAATATTTCATAGATAAAATACATAGATTTTTCAAGATTCATTATTAAAATAAAAAAAAATTAATATAACAATTAAGTTTAAATAGGTTTTAGTTGAAGCATTTATATTTAATACTAAAATTAACTCTTTATTCTTAAATAAATGGGTCACTTACCTAACTCGCCTGTCAACCCTTGGCACGACACGTTTATATTCATGTCATAAACGGTTGACTTATTTATAACACCAACTCGTGTCATATAAATGAGTGACCCGTTTAACTTCTACCTTAACCTGTATTTCTCGTGTTATGTATCGCGTTGCCTTGTTAGAGCCATTTTGACACCCTACATAAAACCCTTTTAGAGATGGACATACTCTTTAAACAGAAGGAGAAAGACTTACCTACCGAGTATAGCTACAATGTTTTAGTTCAAAAAAATAAAACAGTAAAAGAACCTTTTTTTTTAGCTGATTTGGTATTATAAGATTATGGCAAATCTTATCGTAAAGGGAGTATTGGAGGAAAATTCGAATTCTGTTATTATCCAATAAAAAGGGAAAAAAAAATAAAAGAAAATTAGCAATAATTACTCGTCAACTTTTCCATTTTTCAGTTCAAAAAATTTACCTCGATCAGCCATTTCCAGGATAGGAAAAACCACACGCTCCTCCATCTGTGCGTGCTCAACCATGAACTCCAGCAACTGTGAATAGCTTTTGCTAAATTTTCTGATCTCCATCCTTGGTGTTCCCATCGCCGGATCCACATTCTTCCTCCCTCCGCGTGCGGCCAGATCCTCTCCCCACCTCACCATCCTCTCTAGATGCCATATCACACTCCTGTGCTGCAACACCACCGCCGCCAGTATCAACAGCGTTGTTTTACCAAACCCGTCGCATTCCTTCATTAACAATGGCGGCTGCGGGAATTGCGCATCAATAAACTGGAGAACCGTATCGCGCGTTCCTGAAATGTAATCGGCGCCGATTTGGAGTATAAGTGGCATGCCGGAGGTGGGGATAAAATCAAGAGATAGGGTCTTGTAGAGAAGAGCAAAGCGGATGTAGGAGGTGAAGGCAGAAGTGGGAGAGCCATACAGTTTAACTGCGGTGGCGGCGGTGGATTTGATAAAATCATAAGGAGCTATCTCGGCCGTAGATTTCTTGGACTGTTTAAGGCAGTTCCCCATTGTTAAAGAAAAAGAGAGACCGAGATTCAAAGGCCTTAATCAAAACAAATTATTTAGAGATACCAAACAAGGAGTGAATTACAAGAAAGGTTTTGGATAGAGCATTTTAACAAACACAAAAGAGACAGAATAGATTTTGATAAAGAGAGTTCAAGTGTAAAAGTTCTGCCTGTGAATTGGACTTTTGGTAGTAAATCACAGAATAGAAAGTGGGTAGATAAGGTAATGGAGAAATAAATAGAGAAAGCTTGAAGAGGAAGGGAAAGATTAGGAAGGAAACAAAAGGAGAAAGGAAGGAGAAGGGACAAAATCAGAGAGGCAAGCTTGCCTTTTTCCCTCCGTTTTTAGAATCATAATCCGCCGCTTTCTTGTACGCTCCTTGGTGACGTTTTTGACGTGTTTGTTTAGATTTGTTTTGTGCCGTTGTAAGCTGCTATCGTATTACTGTTTCGGCTGATTTTTTTTAATGATTTTTATTATTTTGGAAAGTAAGTTCTCTGTTTGGTAGCATATTGAATATTTTAGGAAGAAAAATTTTTTAAAATCATATTATGCAATATGACGCTCTTTTCTTTGTAACGGAAAAAAAAAATAGTCTTCTTATGCTTATATATATATTTTTTGAAAAACTTGTTAACTAATATAAGTTGGATAGATCATAATTAATGATGGAGCTCACCCCAACTAAAAGTTTTTAGATGTGTATTTTCTTAATGATGAACTTGATAGTAGAGTGGTAAGATTCTTGATACTCAGATCACCAATCTTGAGATTCATCCTTGATGGCTGTAATTTTTCTAGTTTAATTTTTTGCGTAATTTATAGCTAGTAAAATTATATATAATTATTATATATATATAATATATATATATATATATATATATAATATATATATATATATATATATTATTATATATAATTACTCCACAATTGTTATAAATTATTTTTTATTGGTCATTGAATGAGTTTATAAATTATTTTTTATTGTCATTGAATGAGTTATATCATTAATTTTAATTTTAGGTTATTTAATTTTATATTCTTTTTTAGAATAATTCTTAGTTTTGAATTTGATTTAATTCTATGAATACTTAAAATTCACATAAATTTTAAAATATACAATAGTAGTATAAATTTATATTTCAATTATTTATTATTGGTTATTCAATTAAAATTTAACAATTGAAATAAATTTTAGAATTCTAAGTATTTTATCTTAAGAGAAAGCTGAGTCTCAATGAGAGTAAAGAAAGATTGAATTAAAGTTATAGTTTGAGATTTACTATGCATGAGATAAATCCACGTGTGCCTCGTAAAATCATCAACTATAGAAAGAAAAAACCTGTGATTTTGAATAGATGGGATTGAGAAGGGATCCCAAATGTCAACATGTATCAAATCAAAAGGTCTAGCAATTTGTGAAGTACTCTCAGGAAAGGATAAGTGTTTCTGCTTGGCCAAGTGACAAATATCACAATTGCTTATTTGCTTTACAGAAAAATCAGGTATTACTGGATTCAATAAGGACATTCTTACATGTGAGGAGTGTCCCAACCTGTAATGCCATAGATCAAAAGTCATAGAGGCAGTAAGAGTTTTTGAGGTTAAAGGAGAGCATTTTGCAGGCTTTACTCAAAAGCATAAAGTCCTTCACACATCTCAGCTACACCAATCATCTTCAAGGTTTGTAGGTCTTGTATGTAACAATGAGTATGGTGAAAATGAAAGCAAACATGAAGTGTGGACGTAGACTTTTTAACAGGTAATAAATTGTACTTGAATGAAGGTAGATACAGGACATCTGTTAAAGGTAGATTAGGCAAAATTGTGACAGTTCCTGCAATATTAGTGCTTACTATAGAACCATCGGGTAAGGTGACATGTAAAGGGGCTATGTGATGGTAAGAATCATAATTAGAAAGAGAATTAGTGATATGGTCAGTAGCACCTGTGTCTACGACCCATTGAATTACCTTAGTAGAGCATGAAAGAGCCAAATTGATACCTGATTGTGGTGCATGAGAGGATACCAGATTAACAGAAGGTGTTGTCACAGCAGTTGCAGCAGTAGTAGCATTTGGCAATTGAGTTGTCAAGAGATTTGAATTCAACTGAGTTGCTTGCAGCAATGAAATCAGATTTTGACACTGCTCTTGTGTTAAGGAGAGATTAAAAACACTGCTTGCATTTGTTTCTGTCACAAAAGATGAATCCGAGTGTTGCGGAATTGGCAATAAACCAGCCTGAGCCATGTTAACTGAAGAAATACTTCAAGGTTTACTTTAGCCGGGAGGAAAACCATGCTTCTTATAGCATGTTTCAACGGTCTGTCTACTCTTTCCATAAAAAGTATAATACCTAGTGTCTTCTGATCTGAAATTGCTTCCACTTCTGAAATTTTCTTGACCCACAAAAGATTTTGATCTAGGAACAAACTGATTTTGTCTTGACACATAGGTATTAGGCCTGATTACTCTATTAACCAAGGCCTTAGGATCAGCATTAACTTCATGAGGAAAAGATTGCCTTTCTTGTTGGATAGCTAACGAGAAAGCTTTGTTGGTAGAAGGTAGTGGATCCATAATCATACTCTGTGACCTTACAGTTGTATATTGGTCATTGAGCCCTTTCAAGAACCTAATCACATAATCGTGGTTTTGATATTCCTTATTTTGGTAAAAGCTTCACAGGAACAAGGAATCTCAGAAGTGCAACTAGGAATGGGATGAAAATTAAGTAATTCTTCCCATAGAATTTTCAATTCTGTGAAGTAATCAATAATAGACTTAGCACTTTGTCTCAGAGAATAAATCTCTTCTTATAATCTGAGATGGGAAGAGCGTCTCCTTGTGAAAAGCGTTCTCTTAGGTCTTCCCAAACATCTATGGCTGTCTATCCACAGGATGCTCTGTGTAATAGAAGGAGACAATGAATGTATGATCCATGAGAGGACCATGGTGTTACACCTCTCCCAAGCAGGATACAGAGGATCGGTAGGCAATGGAGTATTCAAAGATCCATCGATAAACTTCAGCTTGTTTTTAGAGACAGCGCCGTCTTCATAGCTCTTGACCAAGACTGGTAGTTAGATCCATTAAGAGAAGGTGAGACCAAAACGAGAGCAGGATTCTCGTTTGGATGCAAATAGTAAGGACTGGCAGGATTTGTTGTTTGATCCGCCATTGTTGTAACCCAAGCTTCAAAGAAAAGTTGAAACAAAGAAGAAGAAGAAGAACATTTAGGAGAGAAGTTGAAAATGCTCTGATAACATATTAAATTGTTAGGAAAATTCAAAAATGCTTCATTGATCGAAAGGAAAGTACAATACAGATTATATATCTAGCTAGCTATAAAAAATAAATAAAACAAGCCTAACAAATTGACAGCTAAGCAAAAGACGGTTATAGCAAACCTACGGCTAATAAGGAATAAACCTACAGCTAAGGAGGAATAGCTTTGGTGTAATTTTCTGTATTGTGCGCTAGGTTTTGTTTACACGTGGTTTTGCTTGGATAACAAGAAGAATACGCTAAGAATTTGAAGCACTCTTTTTATTGTTCAATTTAAATTGGAAAAGGCGAGGAAAAGGAGAAAATACGAAGACGATGATAAATAAGTATACTCATTAATCTTTAGAAACTTAATTCTACTCCACGTAGTGTCAAATGATAAATAAAAAAATGATCCAAAAAGCGAAGGAGGGAACATATATACACGTTTAAATTGCTTTTTCCACCATCAATTAATGAATTGACAAAGTTAGTTGACACTGTTAATCAGTTATCGGTTATTTCAACTATATTATATAAGTATAATTTTTGTGAATTGTTTGCTGATCAAATGTGATACAGTTGGTCTTTTCACTTATGTGAAGAGTGAAAGTTTCTAAGTTTGAGCCCCTCGATTATAATAGTATTCATTAATTTAATGAGTCAATGGGAGCGCTATCCTTATTTTATAGTTCGTGTTATTTCGGTTCATTAGGCCTCCAATTAATAAAAATTTTTTTTGTGAAATATTTTATTTCATTAAATATTTATTCATATTTGAATATTTTGAGTAATTTAATATTCAATCATTTTGTTGATTAATGATAATAATAAACCTGTAATACTTAGCTTATTCTGAAATATTCACCTTTTTTTTTTTTTTGAAAGAGTAAAAATATTCATTCACTCAAGGAAAAAATTCCTAAGACAATCAGGGACCCGGTCCCAAATCTGAGTACGAGTTCTAAGACCAATCAGGGAACCTCGGTCCCAAATCTGAGTTACGAGCAAAACGATAAGACGCTTCTAGCAAGAGTATGAGCGATATTATTCGCGTACCTACGTAACCAATGATCTTTATATCAGGTCTAGTATCTAGAATGAACTTACAATTCTAGTATCTAGAATGAACTTACAATCGAAAATAACAATACCGAAATAAGATAGGTCTAATACTTTAGACTTTAAAGCATGAAAAACTAAAAGAGAATCCAGGTAAATAAATCCATAACCATCCCAAAAGTCATGGATGTGGACTAGACAAGCACGAAGAGCAACAGCTTCAATAATAGAAGGATCACCACCGCCGTCATAGTATCCTGAAACTGCTTGAAGGAAATGACCATCATCATCTTCAAAAACAAACCCATAACCAGCAAGTCCCACATCCTGGAAAATGGCCCCATCCACATGCACATGCCATGAAGAGTTAATACCTGCAGTGATGTTTTGAACACTAGGAGGTGACCAAGGGCCATTCAGTTGGTCCACTTGTGATTTTGCTATTAACCAATCATCATAAAACTTGCATGCCTTGGAGTGAGTCACGTTAGGAGGAATAAAATTTTGTTTCATTTCTTGCTGACCAAAAGACCAAGCAGATAGAGAAAAACACCCATTTTTCTGTTGTTCTTTCAATTACCTGCATAAAAAGTATCAACAAATTTATGATTAGTTAAGAAACTCTTGGAAGCCCGGCCACCCTCCAGACTCCTGGTTGGGCTCTCTTACCCACGTCACAAGGCATGGTCAATATCTTTTCACATCTCCAACAAAAAGACGCATCCAGATCCAATATTAACTCCCCCTTCCTACTCAGGCCTTTCTTTAGTTAGGAGGAATACCCCTCTAAGATCTTCCACAAAAGTCATTAACTTTTGGGGGGACATTAAGTTCCATAAGGATTTCCACCACTCTCCTCCCACAGGATCAACTCCCCTACCCACTACCCTCAAAGCCACATCATAGCCACTCTTGACTGAATAATACCCTTTTTTATCAAAATGCCAAGTAATATGATCCTGCCTATTAAACAAGCTTAGTGGGATTTTGAGAATCGAATCAACATCCCTCGGATGGAAAAGTAAAAGAAGCTTTTCAATGTCCCACACTC